GCATGATTAGCATGTTATTAGTATGTTCATAACATGATTAGCAAGTTACTAGCATGTTGCTAGCATGTTTATAGCATGATTAGCATGTTACTAGCTTGTTGCTAGCATGATTAGCAAGTGACTAGCATGTTTCTAGCTAGCATGATTAACAAGTTACTAGCATGTCACTAGCATGTTTCTTGCATGATTAGCATGTTACTAGCATGTTTGCTAGCATGATTAGCAAGTAACTAACATGTTGCTAGCATGAATAGCAAGTTATTAGCATGCTCCTATCATGATTATCAAGTTACTAGCATATTGCTAGCATGTTTCTAGCATGATTAGCATGTGACTAGCATGTTGCTAGCATTATTAGCAAGCGACTAGTATGTCGTTAGCATGTTTAACAAGTTATTATTATTGTTATTATTACTAGCATGTCGCTAGCATGATTAACAAGTTACTAGCATGTCGCCAGCATGTTTCTAGCATGATTAGCATGCTACTAGCATGTTGCTAGCATGATTAACAAGTTACTAGCATGTCGCTAGCATGTTTCTAGCATGATTAGCAAGTGACTAGCATGTCGCTAGCATGATTAGCAAGTTACTAGCATGTCGCTAGCAATTTCTAACATGATTAGCAAGTGACTAGCATGTTTCTAGCATGATTAGCAAGTTACTAGCATGTTTCTAGCATGATTAGCATGCTACTAGCATGATTAAAAAGTGACTAGCATGTTGCTAGCATTATTAGCAAGCGACTAGTATGTCGTTAGCATGATTAGCAAGTTATTATTATTGTTATTACTGGCATGTCGCTAGCATGTTTCTAGCATGATTAGCAAGTGACTAGCATGTCGCTAGCATGATCAGCAAGTTACTAGCATGTTGCTAGCATGATTAACAAGTTACTAGCATGTTTCTAGCATGATTAGCAAGTGACTAGCATGTCGCTAGCATGATCAGCAAGTTACTAGCATGTTGCTAGCATGATTAACAAGTTACTAGCATGTTTCTAGCATGATTAGCAAGTGACTAGCATGTCGCTAGCATGATCAGCAAGTTACTAGCATGTTGCTAGCATGATTAACAAGTTACTAGCATGTCGTTAGCATGTTTCTAGCATGATTAGCATGCTACTAGCATGTTGCTAGCATGATTAACAAGTCGCTAGCATGTTTCTAGCATGATTAGCAAGTGACTAGCCTAGCATGTCGCTAGCATGATTAGCAAGTTACTAGCATGTTGTTAGCATGATTAGCAAGTTACTAGCATGATTAGCAAGTGGCTAGTATGTCGCTAGCATGATTAGCAAGTTACTAGCATGTTTCAAGCATGATTAGCATGCTACTAGCATGTTGCTAGTACGTTTCTAACATGATTAGCATGTCGCTAGGATAGATAGATAGAAATAGTCAGATCATAGATAGATAGATAGAAATAATCAGATAGATAGATGGATAGAAATAGTCAGATGATAGATAGGTAGCTAGGTAGATAGAAATAATCAGATGATAGATAATCAGATAGATAGATAGATAGATAGAAATAGTCAGATGATAGATAGATAGAAATAGTCAGATGATAGATAGATAGATAGAAAGAGTCAGATGATAGATAGATAGAAAGAATCAGATGATAGATAGATAGAAATAATCAGATAGATATAGATAGATAGAAATAGTCAGATGATAGATAGATAGATAGAAAGAAATAAATAATCAGATAGAGGAGTTTGAATGAGTTTGAATGGGTTAGAAATGGCACATAGAAAGGAAGTCTGATTGAGTCTAATGGGCTTCAGTGTGTTTAGATTTGAATTTTGACAGTTGGAGTTTGTCGGAATGTTCAGGTGAGCAGAGACTTTTCAATGTAAGTCTATGGGATTTTTATGATTTTTAATATTCATTTTTAAGAAAACCATAAGTCTGATCAGTTAGAAAAGATATAGCACACCCGGTCAGATCAGTCTGAAGAGCTGGGCTGAGTTTGGAGTCTGTACAGTTAAAGCTCTAGGAGGAGTTAGAGTTCATAATTTAGGATCATAATAATAATAATAATAATAATAATGTTTAAATAGCATTTCAGTAAGTTGGCTTTCTCAAGCCAACTTAATAATGCACTCCCGAAGTGGTTATGGCCACGTCGCCACGCCTATTAATGGAATGGTCTTTCTCAGTTCTCAAACTGATTAAGAACTACATTCGATTTTTATTGACTGAACGCAAGCGCTTATTGCGATAGAAAACACTAACTGTTTCCACTGATTAAGAAATGTTTTTGTTAGCTTGGGTGGTAATATAAGGCCTTTTATATTAATAGGGAAGGGGGGCCCAAAAATTTGTTTTACCTATGTCACGAAAAGAGGTAAATCCGGCCCTGCCAACAGCACTGAAACATGCGGTGCAGACAGAGAACAGAGGAGCACGAGCAGCTGATATACTGCGCATGTGTGTACTACTGAACGAACGGCACTGCTACAGCAGTTCTCGGGTCAACAGTTCTCGAATCACCAGTACACTGAACCGAGAACCGTTTCTTTCGGACACGGTCGACAATCGACACTGAGAACCGATGATGAGCTGGAGATACTGAGCATGCGTGAAGCTATCTGTCTAGCTGTTTATTTCTGAAAACTGATGCTGATATTAACATATGCGCGCGAGTGAACCGAGGACTTGAATGAGGGGGCGAATTTGACGAAATGAAGTTTATTTAATAACATAAAACTTACTGGAAAGTGCAAATGCAGTTTTATTGGTCTTATGAAGTATTCTAATTTGTTGAGATAGTGAATTGGTTGGATTTTGATAAATGCGAGCCAAAATCATCACAATTAAAAGAACCAAAGACTTAAACTACTTTAGTCTGTGTGCATTGAATTTATTTAATACACGAGTTTCACAATTTGAGTTGAATTACTGAAATAAATTAACTTTTCCACGACATTCTAATTTATTGAGATGCACCTGTATTTACTATTGTGTATGCACGTTATATTTTAAGCTTTATGAGCTGGATTTCTGTAAGGTTACGGTTTCTGTAAAAAGTTGATGAAGACTTCACTTTCTTTCTTTTCATGACATCCGCGTTTGCACATCAGTGCCAGTATTGGGTGCTTTTGCAAAACGTAAATGTAAGAAACTTATCCAAGATGATGATGATGACGATGGTTATTACTATTTATTTTAAGTTATGGTTACAAATTACTTTATTTGAATGTTTTTGAATGTATTTTCAATTGCCGGGATGATAAAATTGACGTCATTACGTGATGACGTAAAAGAACCGGTGAACCAGTTTTTTGAACCGGTTCATTGAAATAAACTGTCCGAAAGAACTGGTTCACGGAAAAGAACCGGACTTCCCATCACTACCAAACACAGAACACCGGGATTGCTTACTAGACATTGTTGACATTACAGCTTCTCGAGAGCGAAGAAAATGGAGGACAGCGTACAAGCAAACACAACTCGCTGAGGGCGGAAACTACGGTAATGCAGGACTGTCAGTCAGCGGTCGTGGGCGGGGCCTAAACATTGTGACGTCACAATGCTAAGAGAATCAAAACAGCCTGTCTAATGAGACTGATTTGTTTTAATAGGGATCAAAAAAATGAGTGGGTGGATTTTTATCATTGTAGGGTAGTTGTGTTCACACTACCAACACACATTTATGTCCAAACACCGTGTAAAAGTGGATTTTGCATAATATGTGCCCTTTAAGTCACTTCCGTGTTGGTTTCAAGAGAAAGACTGGAAGGTTGCCGCTTGGTCTCATTCACCGGTGAGAAAACATTACAGTACAAAGCGCATAATATTACAATAATAATGCTTTTCATTCTCGCTGGAACACGCTGATGACGTATCATGTCGACGCAAACAGGGTATGCAGAGGTATGCAAATTTATTTTGACAGGCAGGCAGGACAGCCTATCATAATGTTCGGACTGAACATTTTATGGTCCTACGCCTTCCACAGGCGATATAAATACATACAAATAAATTTAGACCACTTAACTTAGTGATTGCTATTGGGATATGAAGAGATTTTCAACCAGCATAACAAAAAAAGTTTTGAACCAAATCACCTACCCTGCCTTTAATTTAAGCTTTTCCTATTCTGCCAGCTTGTTGCACTTACTAGCCCAAATTAAGTCTTATTCCAATAGTAATTCCAATAGAGCAACTGCTAGTAATAAGTACTGGCTTGCAAAGAGCAGCATTGAAAAAAAGAGAATGTTTACTCAAGTGAGTTCTGAAGCGATCCGATGATTTTCAGTCTCCTTTTGGCACTTCTATCAGTCAGGAGACGTTTATTACGAGCACGTGGTTATAATGGTTTCATGGCAGTTTCGGGAAACATTTTGTCCAGCAGTCAATTAAATTATGGTATCTGAAACATTTTATTCATCAGCCAATGAAACCTGAAAATGTAAAATACGATCTTTCCTACATGAAAGTGACATATGGGTTAGAGAGTTAGAGAGTCGGACTTGTAACCCAATGGTCGGGAGTTCAAGTCACGGATTGTAGGTGGGGGAGTGAATGAACAGCACTCTCTTCCACCTTCAATAACCACCACTGAGGTGCCCTCTTCTCTGGGTGTGTTCACGATGTGTGCACTTGGATGGGTTAAATGCAGAGCACAACGGGACACCATACTTGGCCACACATAACTTTCACTTTCATGAATTGAATGCACCAATTGCAGCATAAACCCCGCCCTCTCCATGTAAACGACCAAATTACGTGACCCAAAGCGCCAGCTCATTGATCACTACTGTGGAGACTTTGACGCCAAATGACGTCATTGGTGCAAGATAACAGCAGCCATACGTTTTTTTTTTTTTTTACAGTCTATGGTTCCAGTCCGTTACACTTTATCTTGCATTTCTCTTCAAACGGTCCCTAAAGTAGCTCCAGGTTCGAATGGCATAGCTGCAAGCGCTGCTCCATGACCGAGTTCAACTTGAGTACAGAATGAAAAAAATACAGGTGTGCATGTACATGTTACCTGGTGGATGACAGGAGCTGGAGCACTGATGACCTGCTGCACATTTCGCACTCCTGCTGAGTATTTGTATTGACTGGCTCCTCTGACTACAGCTCCGGCTCCTGCAGTTCTCCCACCTGCAGTCTGTGTGCCAATGTTGGCTAAGTCAAGAGAAAAACAGGTACAACAAGAAAAGATGATTCACATTCCAGCTAGAAACAGACCATTCAGGATGACACTAACATTCGTCAACTCTAGCTCATAATTTTACATTTTAACATATAGTTCAAAGTAATTGAGAGACAAGAGATACACAATGCATAAGGCCCATTTCCCATTTTTTTAAAGAACTTGTATACAAATACACACCTTTACAACACACATTTGTTTTTTTTATTATTGTGGGGACTTTCTGCTGGCATTGTTTTTATATTTGGCTAACTTAGCATGTTTATTAGTTTGTTTTCAACACTGTGAGGATTGGCTGGTCCCCACGGTTTAGTGGATTTCAAGTTTTACTATGCTTGTGGGAACATTTTGACCCCACAATGTAGGTTTAAAATAAACACAGAGCCTTACCCATTCGCTGGGTGTTGTTAATAATGTGAGGAACCTGAGTGGAGGCCTGGCGGACTGTGCTGATGGTGGTAGAGGGCCTGCGGGGCACCGCTTGTCTCACAAACTGAGCTGTAAATGGAGCTAATGCAGCCAATAACAGAAATTAACAAATACAAAACAAACACAGAGGTTAAAAAAAATAAATAAATAAAAAAAAAAAGGAAATGTGTATTTGAATGATATTAGTGGCATGTAATAAAACTACAGTATTGCTCATAGAAACAGGAATCACCCTCTATTAATAATCAGTTCTCTACAGTAAGTGCACAAAGACGGAAAACAAAAGGGCAGAGAGAGGACCAAAAACAGACACAAAATATTGTCTTAAATGTATTCCACGTAACAGTTATTCTTGTTTAATTTTGAAAAAACCAGAGCGTTTATCTATCTATACATCAGAAAGCTTTGGATAAATTTAACTTCATCTTAAAAGACTATAAAAATTATCTTTAGGTTCATTAGGTTTAGGATAAAAAAAAAAAAAGATTCATATACAAGATGTGAAACACTAGCTGTGTGTACTGCATTGTATATGCAAGAAGAAATATTTAGGCAAAGAAAGTATTTTGCATATTGGAAAATATTAAGTTTGGGGTTGGTAAGATTTTTCAATGTTTTTAAATAAAGTCTTATGCTCACCAAGGCTGCATTTATTTAATCAAAAATACTGAAAAATAGTAATATTGTGAAATATTATTACAATTAAAAAAAAATTATTGAAGAAATGTTTTCTATTCAAATATGTTAAAATGTAATTTATTCCTGTGATGCAAAGCTGAATTTTCAGCATCATTACCCCGGTCTTCAGTGTCACATGATCAAAAATGATTTAAAAAAAAAGCCTTTGTGTGTAATATCTATATGTAAATGTCTTTCATGTTACTTATGATCAATTTAATGCATAAATCCTTAATACCCCAAACTTTTGAACAACAGTGCATTATGTGATAGAGTACATGAAATCTGTAGTGCTACTGCATATATTGAATTGTATTGTCAAATGGGTTTAACTTTTAAAGCATTAAATCATGTGAATAATCAGAGCATGACTTTTCTTTTTCTTTTTACTTTTCACAGAGCCCAACAAGAATTGTTGCTAAATTGTTACGTAAATAGATCTTTACCTTGAGTCCTCTGTGCTTGAGCTGTCCAGCGTGGCACAGGCCGCAGGTTTGGTACGGTGTTGTAAAAAGAGCGAACCTGATGCTAGAAATGCAGATATGCATGTAAGTTCACACAGCAGAAGTAATGCAGATAATGCAATCATCATTCAAAACCACACATGCATATAAACCCTTCCACCCACTTGCGGCACAGAGGTCATGTAGTAGCCGGAGCTCTGCTGGTAGGTGGTGGGTATGGCAGGGCTGGGAATGGCTCGAATGCTGGCTAGTCTCTGCATGTACTGATTGGTGAGGATTGCCTTTCGCTCCTCTTTTCTCTGGGCAAGAGCCACGTATAGTGGTTTAGTGCTAACGATACGGCCATTCATCTCAGTCACTGCCTTCGTGGCCTCTTCAGGAGAGGAAAAACACACAAAGCCAAAGCCCCTACTGTGGCCTCCATCTGTCATCACCTATCCAAAATATAAGAAAATCAATAGCAAGACTGTTCAGTTTCTCTCAACGTAAAATTGCACAAATATGAGAATTTCCCTTTTTGTCAATAAGAACTACCATTTTAATGCAATATATTTTTTAGGTAAAACTAGCATTATTTTAGTGTCATTCATTTATCAATACTTTTAATTTGTTTTTATTTTCATATTAGTGAAAATTTGTTTTTACTTATTTAAAGTGTATAATATATATATATATAAAAATAAATAATTTTATTTCAAGTAACAAAAGTGTATGTTTTAGTTTAAGGTAATGTTAATCAACATGGGTGAAGCAGGATCTCCAATGAGATGGAAAAAAGGTGTGTAGGAATTTATTAATTATGAATTGGTTTTATGCTGAAAAGTGTGTCACCATGGAGCTAAAACAAATGCGCGTTTTCTAAAATAATGGCTAAATAGCTTTTTGAAAAGATGTATTTTTTCCAAATTAAAACAAAATTGCAGATATTCCAACATAATGTGATGAATTTTGTAAATCTGTTTAAAAAAAAAAAAGATTTCATGATTAACAAAGCAGAAAAGTTGTGCATTGTGACTATACAATTGACATCACTCCCTCATAACTAATAACCTTCAAGTCCGATTTAAAAAAAAAATGTATATTAGACTCCTATCACACTTTTTACTGTATTTTGTAGTTTGTTGTCCTGTCCTTGCTGCTATTTAGTAAGATGTGTATTCTTGAGCGATTTACATTACCTTTGCACTAGTGATGGTTCCATAAGGTGCAAACTCTTTCCTTAGTTTCTCATCATCGATGCCGTCATCTAGATTTTTTACATAGAGATTAACCCCCTAAAATCAAACAAAAAAATGCATGCATCAAAATATTCCTGCTGAAAAATCAACACAGTTGAGCATATGCAAATGCTTCTAATACGATTAGGACGATATTGAATTTTGGCTGTGTTTTCAGATTTATACAAGTTACCATGCAGGTAAGCATATGTGTGTACCTGGTAGCGTTGTATGCGTTCCTGCTTTATTTGCTCAAACTTGCGTTTGAGTTCTCCCTGCCTCTCCAGTCTTTTCTGAGCTCTGCCCACATACAGGACTCTGCCATTCAGCTCTTTGCCATTCATTTCAGTTACTGCCTACCACAGAGAAAAGGAATGACTTCAGTCTCCATATCTACCGACATGTAAAGTACAATGTTTTCTTACCCTCCTGGCATCTCCGTGGTTTTCAAAGTTGACAAATCCAAAGCCACGAGAGCGTCCCCTTTCATCTGTCATTACACAGACGCTAAGGGTCTTACCTGTGAACCAGAGCCAGCTTTAAAAGAAGCAGAATCAATATTCCTAATGAAAAGTGCTTGCTGACGAATTGTAGATCTGAAGTCAAAGATTAAAAACCCCTGCTGATACTTTAAGTTCATCTGCATATTTCACACTTGTATATTCCCAAAGGATATCTTTACAAGAAATCCCCATATGAAACTGCTTACCAAATTCAGAGAAGATGCTCTTCAGTTTCTCACGGTCAATATCTTCACCGAAGTTCTTAATGTACACATTGGTAAACTCCATGGCTTTAGCTCCAAACTCTGCCTCACGCTCCTTACGAGACTTAAAATGCCCTACAAAACTGCAAAGGCCAATTGAAATAAACACCTAAAAAGAAAGCCATACTGGAAAAAACTAAGAATGTCAGTTCTGCAGTTGAAATAAAGGTGTAAAGTTTTTGATATTTTTAATTTAGAAAACATATATCATTTACAAGGACAAACCTCAAAGCACAAATTAAAGGGGTCATATGATGCCGCTAAAAATAACATTATTTTGTGTATTTGGTGTAATGAAATGTGTTTATGCGTTTTAAAGTTCAAAAACCACATTTTCCACATACTGTACATTATTGTTTCTCCTCTATGTCCCGCCTTTTTGAAACGCATTTGGGTTAAACTGTTCTGGAACAGTGTTGTAAATACAACTTAACCACTGAGTTGTAGTCGTGTCCTCTTTTGGAAGACCAAACAGTTTCAAGTAGAAACAAGAAACAACAGAAACAAGTAGTTTCGCTTTCACAACGAAAAACACAGCAGCCTAGCGGAAGCCCCGGCTTAGCGTGAGCTGAGGCCGGGCTAGAGTGAGCAGAGGCGGTGGGGTTGAGAACGGCGCAGCCGGCGGATTCGACGAAGGAGCGGCAACCACATGTGATGACCCTGGGCTGGACT